GAGAGAGAGAGAGAGGAAAGAGAGAGAGAGAAATAAAGCAACACAACACAACACAGCCAATTCCCAGATGATCGATAAACATACGGCATAATTACGCTTCACACAATAACGAGCACACACAATAATGCAACAAAAAAACAAGACGTCTAATCAAGCATTGTTCTGTTTCTCATACTCACTTCCCATAGATGTCATCTTCCTGTATCGCGTCTTTGCCCAGCGTGGAGATGAGCATGAGAGATGTGCACGTAGACATGGCGCTCAAGGTCACACTGCGCCGACCTTTGCCATCTGTGATGACAGTAATGAGTGTTAATGTTTTACTTCTATTTCGACTTTAAAATTCAAAAGTATTTTATAGAAAAATGTTTCAATTTGTATCCTTTCGTAGACTGATTGATTTTACAATATTTGTCAGAAAGTGTCCACATGGTCCTAAAAGGGGCCATAAATATGTAGCAAAACGTAGCCATTTCTACACCAGCCCCTTCGTCCGGACAGTGTGTTAGTAAACAAAATTTGCTACTATCTTTTTAGGCAATGTAGAGTATAAATCTTCAGCCTTTGTGTTCTGTTATAACAAAGAAAAATGTATTTAACGTTTTCAGTTACATACTGTAAACGAAAATGGTTACAAGAGTTAAAAAATTCTTCTTTTGGGTCTTATTTCTTAAGTTTATAGAGTCAAAAAAATATAACAAAACGTTTGCTTCCTATTTTATCTTGAGCTTTTGCAAAATTATTAGAATGTACAATTCATTAATATTATGTTTACAGTAGAAATTATACACGAAACTTAAATACCCTGATTTGTTTTGCGTCGTTGTTTTGTTTGTTTTTTGTTTCGTTTTGTTGGGGAGATTGGATTTTTAAATTTTTTAATTTTTTAATTATTATTTTTTTTTGGGGGGGGGGGATTTTTTTCCTTTTTGCTTGTTTGTTTGGTTGTTTTTTGTAACGTGAATGTAAACCATTGCTTGCCAACCACAGTGATATCGCCCGATACTGAGCGATTTGATCATTTTGGTAGGCGCTTTAGGGATCACCTTGGTAGTGACAAGTAAGGTACCATTAATGTTTCGATTGGGAAAACGCGTAGATGGGTGATTCGAAATTTTAAACCTCTTAAAATATAGTAAAAGTGGGCGCTTGCTACTAGCAGGTGGACGATCTATGACGTGAACTAACAAACTTACATAGACAGGCCTGGACATCTTTCTCTTCAATGTCGTGACTCCTACACAGCGCCACGAGAAGTTGAACGTCTTTCTGTCGATAGAACAAGTCATAGGGATAATGACTGCCTCAATTTAAGCAGCAGGAGCAGCAGGAGCAGAAGCAGCAACAGTAGTAGTAGTAGTAGTAGTAGTAGTAGTAGTAGTAGTAGTAG